GTGGATCTTGTGTGCTGTTTCCCATAAGCGCTAGATGAAAAGCTTTTCTACGGCAATAAAAGGCATTGCATTTTTTTATTCATCCTGTCCAATGCTTTTTATGTCTTAGTTTTATAACAAAACCATATTAATGCTGTGTTACCCTAAATTCACATTATTCTGAGTTTTATGACTCTCCATTTCAAAAATACTGTACATTTCTTGTGCTACTCTAAGTAATAAGAGCTACCATCCCTATAACGTTTTTTTTTTTTTGGCACCTAAATGCTCATGCACATATGCAGACCAGAAGCATTTRCACAAGCTTTAGATTCATGAGTCTATTTATTAAAGACATTTTGCACTGTTCAGATCAGTGTAGCATTATTCATCTTCAGACAAACACAAACCACTGACGTTTTTTCTTTTTCTTTTTTCTTTTGGTATTTAACATCAGTCATGGATTAGCCATCAACCAGACCAAACCAAACCACTGGAATTGAACAGGAGTGAATGTAGGAATATTTTAATGATATTTTAGTGAACAATTTGTATTCTTGTGTGGTTATGTCACTTTGGTGTGGCTTAAAAACCCATAACGATTTAAAAGATTTAAGAATAAACTGGGTGTTTGTTAGCCCAAACAATATTTTCCACTCTGCTGCCTGTTTCATCCGTYCTGAAGTCTCTCTGACATGTTCTTTTCCATTGCACTGTTTTTAGCTGTTGTCATGAGTGCTTGTGGCTGCATTTTAGCTTGCTCAGAGAATCCCACAAATGTGTAATTTGAGCAAAGCTAGAACCAGCAGTTATTTAAAATATGCTTCAGTAATAGGTCTTTCCCATCTTGACTTTTAGTCAAACTGTTACTAAGTGTCTAGACTCCGTCTGCGTGTTTTTGTTTACATGTGACTCACCGGCTTAAAGCTTAAACTGGGTTTAGCAAAAAAATATAAAAGAGATGATAAAACTAATAAAGCAAATGCTTTCTGTGTGTGTTTGCAGCTTAGGGGTGTTGATTGTTTGCGGGTGCATTTGATGTGGGACTGATCAAGGGGCTATGATGGGGTCTGGCTCTTAAAAGTCCCTTGGTTTCCCAGAGAAAACTATTTCCTGTTTCCCAACACTAAAACCCGTATAAACGTGTGTGCAGCAAATGCTGTATGCGAGTTCAAGTGAGCTCAAGTTGTTTACATGTTTGTATCAATTTGATCCCTTATGTGTTCATAGCTGTGTCCCATTGTTTCACMATATTTGACTTTTATGTCCTCTGTAAAGTTTGGATATATGTCATTTTACTTGAGCCATTGCTGAAACCAGTCGTGCCAGTTTACAGTTCTGGTTTTGATAAATCACATTCCATCTGAGATGCTAAATAGCGGAAGCTAGATTTTTTGTAGGCTTTATTAAATGTAGGTTAGACTTGTATTTTTATCTTTTATTTTTTCAGTAATAAGGGTCATGTCATTGACCAATAACACCCTACCCTCTTGTATAGAATACAGCATGTCTTTGAAYGCAGATACACACACTCCACGTTACACCCAGCCTAATGTTATCAGAGAGTGATGGGGCACCGTCCTGCTGACAGAAAAAAAAGTCATCTGTTCCATCTCAGGCAAATAACAATAAGCCTAGGGCTGCATTCCAATGGGCTTTCTCTTTGAAATGGGATACCAGTGCACGCATTACAAATATATCTCTTGTTTTATCTTCCGGGCCAGACCCATGGAAAAATTATTCCAAATACCTGGCGCGCTTTATCTGGAACCCTGGAATAGGTTAGACCCAGCCGGGAACACGAGGATGTCTAAAATAAGGCCTCTATTACGGGATGGAGTGGAGATGGAACAGAGCGGGAAGGGACGAGGATCGGGTGGTATTTTAGGTGTATCAGCCCTGTGAAAAGGCCTTGTTGCCGTGGCTTGGATCTGCTTTAAAGTCTTCAATGTAGGCCAATGTCAGCTGTTGCTCAAACTACATGTGATGGGGGAGGCTTTGGGCGCAGATGCATGCTTATGTGGTCTCATACATCTATTGCTAAGCGGGAGTATAAATAACATTTTTCCTACAGATGTTCTCCCCTTGACAAATCTGCTTTTGGCCTGTGGCATGACGGCCCAAAGTACATGGTTATTTATTAATTTGGCTTCTGTTTTTTCATGTTCAAATAAAAGATTAATACTTCAAAATCAAATGGCTCTTTTTGGTTCAAGTAAAGGCTAACTTGCTCCGTGCTTTGACTGATTGTAATCCAACTCAAATAAAAGTGGTACGCAAATTTTTTTGCTAGTAGACTGCAGGGCATGGTCAGAGGAAAAGCAAGTTCAAAAGACATCAGAGGAGGTGGGACAAATGGGAGCGAGAGCTGTTGAAAACGCCTAGGTAAGGAATTCATTTATCTCCTTGGTTCTCTTTGGTGAGACCCAACACGAAATTCATCACCATCGCCTGTAGGAAGCTGATGACATTTCCTTCAGCGCTCAAGTGTGTGTGAGGACCACGTACCAGACTTACCCTAGAAACACATGTCCTCTACATAGTTCTCATAGCAGAATGGAGAGATTCAGCATACAAGTGTTGCCAAGAAACCAGTGGCAAAAAGTGATGATCTTTTAAGTTAAAGTGATGATCATGCTGATGAATACTGGTGAAGTATTGGCAAGGCTGTTATTAGTAAATCAGGGTAGCTTGTATGGTACAAGGGACTAAAATATGAAGTTGGGGTCCAATTGGCAGATCGGTGTAAAGCTGCAGTTATAATGACGTTCGCCTCATGAGTGATTAAACTGATATTCAGACAGTGGAGTTGTCATTTAAATTATACTTGAACCTCAGGAGTCTTCAGTCACTACATTATTCAATTGCAGAAAAACACACTTATACAGAAGGAATGTCACAATAAAAAGTATTGAATGTGTTACCATGTGTGAGAAATGAAAACTTAATGCTCAAATGTCTTAGAACAATATCTTCTAATAGACATATAAACGTAGCACAAAAAGTATGAAAATTTATATTGGGTTGATAATTTCTTTATTGTAACTAAGCTTCTTGGTAATAAAATTTTCAGTGTTGGAAAGTTTGTAAATTTCCCTTTTAAATTATGCCACATTTATAAGGAACTTGCATAACTGGGATGAGCAGCAGAGCTGAGTATGTGGGTTGCGCAATGAAAATTTTGCCAAATCTTCTCTGCCCATCTTCTCTTTGTCGTGGCTTGGATCTGCTTTAAAGTCTTCAATGTAGGCCAGCTTATTTGGCTGTTGTTATTGACATTTGTTTGAGGTTCTGGTAACTCCAGGTGCTGCCAATCAGGTGCCCGGTATAAGATTTATTTCCAAGAAGCATTGTTACAACAAAGGAAATAAACTACCAATGGGCCTCATGCAAGAACATGTTCGTATTCTTCTCCTAAATTTCTCTTACTTTTGTTCGTACAAAGGGTTCGTACGAACATGTCACATCAGATTCAACAAACTCTTCTATCTTCAGGAAAAGTGTGTAAATGAGCTGCGTAAATTCCACCTGTTCTATCCAGCTGCTCGTGCACAAGCAGTTTCCTGCACATCAGGCTATGTT